TCGAAAATAAATGGAGAAAATATTCAAAAAATAAAAACAATTCCGGACTTTTTTTGAAAACTATCCCCCCACACTATCTTAAGTTTAAAAAGATACAAAACTGCTCGTATCAAGGCGAATCCTTGATGTTTCGGCTGCGTTTTCTCATTTATGGAAAAATTTAAAATGAATTAATATAAGACATTTTCGAAACAAAACATTCGAAAAAATTTTTTGATAATTTTTTTCAGAATCATTTCTCCACACGCTATGTGAAGTGTTAGGTCATATCTTCTGCATATAGCTAAGTTTTAATTGGACCAAAGAGCATGTCTAAATCCAATTAGGAACGATTTCTATTACGGATTAAATGTCTGCTTACGCGTTAATAGCACGAAATATATCGCGCGTTAATTGTTCCAAATTGGCCACATTCGCAATCTTTAAACCCTCTCAATTTTTTAAAAAATGATCACAGGTGACATATATTTTTGAAATAGAGCTTAAGACAAAAAAAATCTCTCGATTATTAAAAAAAATCCGTCGAAAATTGCAAGTTAAAAAGTCGAAGTTTGTCTGGAGAAAAAATCACCTCGAGCACTAATATTCAGTCACTTTCTTCAAAAATCGTAATAACATGTTGTCATCTTGTCATTCAACTTCTCCTTCAAATTGCAGCAAAATTTAAATTTTGAAAAAGAAAACCTTAAATTAGCAGCATTCGAATTTAAACATTCGAATTTAAAATCATTCGAAAAGGGATTTTTCTATTTATTTGAGCAAAACACAGCTTAATATTCAAGCACGCGAGAATTTCGAAAATTCGGACAAAAATGCTTTTTTTTAACCCAGCCAGAAAATCATGAAGATAAAAAAATTGCTCTGAATTTATTCGAGACACTTGAAAAATGATGCAATTCTTTTCAGTAGTTGCAATAGTTTTTTTCCTTTTTTTTCCACGGAAAATCGGCTGCCACAAATAACCATCGGAGAGAGTTGGGTGATGAAAAATTTTAAAGTCCTCTCAGTTGTAATTTGAACGACTATAAAAAACTGTTGTGATTTAGTATTTTAGTACCTCTTAACCTTGACCTCTATAGATTAATCAAGTACCAGTTAATGTCTACTCTACGAAGTCCAGTGGACTTCGCGTCACTAGTTGCTCTTTCAAAAAATCGGCCAGTTTTTATTTTTACACACTATTTCATTCCTTTTTAACTTAGATAGTTAGAATAGTTACCAGTGGTATTTGCAGACTTTTATTAACAATTTTTTTCAAAGTCGAGAAAAATTGGTCAGAAATTTTTGGTTTTTCGTCGAGCGAGTGAGCAGGCTTACAATAGCTATATTATGCTTAACTTAAGCCTTGAAAATTTATTGTTACTCAAATGAAGTTAGTTTTTGGAGTTTTTTTGCTTCATCTTGGAAATCGGAAACTTCAAAAATTCGGGGAAAAAAATTGAAATTAAAAAAATATATAGATTTATATTTTTTTGATTTTTTTTGTTTTTCGTGTTATTTGCCTTCAAAAATTGTTTTCCAATTTGCTTATTTTATAATGACTGGCAAAATTTCTGAAGTTTTTTTCACCCAGATTCTTTTGTCACACCACAAAATAATTTTGTTGTAATTTTTTAAGACTGGTCAGAACGTTCTGTGCTATTTGCACAGTAACCGGCTATCCTTATTCCTTTAAAAGTTTTGATGCTAGTTTGATTTTTTTTTACTTAAGTGATTGGTTGTAAGCGTCAAAAAAATTATTTAAAAAAAAACATTACAGCACAGAGCGAGTGAACCACATTTTTAGCGATAGCAAATTCTTACTAACCATTATTTAACTTCGTCTGAAAATTTCAGACCAGTTTTCTCGGTCCTAAGAACGGTTTTGAATTTTTTGAATCCAAGTTTTAACACTCAATAGGCTTATAATATGATACACAAGGAATAAAAACTAGGAGCTTTCTTTGAAATGGTCGAAATCAACTGAAAAAAAAAATCAGATCCTACGCCATAAATTCTCGCCAATTTGTAAAGTGGTCAGAACAGTCAGTATAAAAAATCCTTTCGAGAGTCAAATATATGTATCGGATATCAGCAAAAAAAAATTACATTGTCAGGATTGGGGAAAACTATTGAACCGTGGGAGCTATTAGACCGTATTAGACTTTTTCCTAGTCATAGAAAATGGAAATGTTTGCACAAGGCCACCTGATGGGATATCAAATTGTGATACAATTTTTTTCCTGCTTTATATTTTCAGGCAGGTTTTTAATAAACCCTGAAACCAGAAAAAATTTTTGTTTGTTTTTGAAATGACGTCTTGTTCGGCGGATTAATAGGATCAAATATATTAGTTATATTACGTTAAGTATGTTTACATTTTTAAATGATTATTACGATTTCTTTTTCACTCTATTTATCACATTAACAAAACCCCTTGGCTGTACGCTTCAATTTTTTCTGATACACTCCAGTTTGATTGAAACTTCTCAAATGGAAAATTTGCACAGTAACCAGCTATCCTTATTCCTTTAAAAGTTTTGATGCTAGTTTGATTTTTTTACTTAAGTGATTGGTTGTAAGCGTCAAAAAAAATTCTTTTTAAAAAAACATTACAGCACAGAGCGAGTGAACCACATTTTTAGCGATAGCAAATTTTTACTAACCATTATTTAACTTCGTCTGAAAATTTCACACCAGTTTTCTCGGTCCTAGGAACGGTTTTGAATTTTTTGAATCCAAGTCTTAACACTCAATAGGGTTATAATATGATACACAAGGAATAAAAACTAGGAGTTTTCTTTGAAGTAGTCGAAATCAACTGAAAAAAAATCAGATCCTACGCCATAAATTCTCGCCAATTTGTAAAGTGGTCAGAACAGTCAGTATAAAAAATCCTTTCGAGAGTCAAATATATGTATCGGATATCAGCAAAAAAAATTTACATTGTCAGGATTGGGGAAAACTATTGAACCGTGGGAGCTATTAGACCGTATTAGACTTTTTCCCAGTCATAGAAAATGGAAATGTTTGCACAAGGCCACCTGATGGGATATCAAATTGTGATACAATTTTTTTCCTGCTTTATATTTTCAGGCAGGTTTTCAATAAACCCTGAAACCAGAAAAAAGTTTTTATTTTTTTTTGTAATGACGTCGTGTTCGGCGGATTAATAAGATCAAATATATTAGCTATATTACGTTAAGTATGTTTACGTTTTTAAATGATTATTACGATTTCTTTTTCACTCTATTTATACATTAACAAAACACCTTGGCTGTACGCTTCAATTTTTTCTGATAGACTCCAGTTTGATTGAAACTTCTCAAATGGAAAATTTGCACAGTAACCGGCTATCCTTATTCCTTTAAAAGTTTTGATGCTAGTTTGATTTTTTTACTTAAGTGATTGGTTGTAAGCGTCAAAAAAAATTCTTTAAAAAAAAAAACATTACAGCACAGAGCGAGTGAACCACATTTTTAGCGATAGCAAATTTTTACTAACCATTATTTAACTTCGTCTGAAATTTTTAGACCAGTTTTATCGGTCCTAAGAACGGTTTTGAATTTTTTGAATCCAAGTCTTAACACTCAATAGGGTTATAATATGATACACAAGGAATAAAAACTAGGAGCTTTCTTTGAAGTAGTCGAAATCAACTGAAAAAAAAATCAGATCCTACGCCATAAATTCTCGCCAATTTGTAAAGTGGTCAGAACAGTCAGTATAAAAAATCCTTTCGAGAGTCAAATATATGTATCGGATATCAGCAAAAAAAATTTACATTGTCAGGATCGGGGAAAACTATTGAACCGTGGGAGCTATTAGACCGTATTAGACTTTTTCCCAGTCATAGAAAATGGAAATGTTTGCACAAGGCCACCTGATGGGATATCAAATTGTGATACAATTTTTTTCCTGCTTTATATTTTCAGGCAGGTTTTCAATAAACCCTGAAACCAGAAAAAAGTTTTTATTTGTTTTTGAAATGACGTCGTGTTCGGCGGATTAATAAGATCAAATATATTAGCTATATTACGTTAAGTATGTTTACGTTTTAAATGATTATTACGATTTCTTTTTCACTCTATTTATCACATTAACAAAACACCTTGGCTGTACGCTTCAATTTTTTTCTGATACACTCAAGTTTGATTGAAACTTCTCATATGGAAAATTGGCTGTGAAAAAAGTCCACTTCAATTTTACCAACGACGTCTTGGTGCTCAAAAATCAATAAATGACTGGAGTACAATTGCGGCTGAGATTTGAGATATAACTCGATATAATTTGAATGATACACTGAAGGCAAGAAGCCATTTGTTTAGCTGACCACTTCTAGTTGGCTTTTCTTATCATTCTTTCCCCCCTCAAACATTTTTTGTTTATTTTATTGACTATCCATCGGACGATTAATTCAATATTCCTGTCATAGTTGACATATGACGCCTCCTATTATCTGAACGGCGTCCATAGTCTAAAAGTCTACAATGTGTTCAATTCGGACTTCATATTTTGTCTACTCCGTAAAATTTTCATATATTTTTTCCCAAGGAAAAAGTAAAACCTATTTTATCTCAAATGCCACACTGTTTTTAAGTCACACTTCACAGCCAGCTTTTAAAGGCATCGCTCCGTTGACGCTTTTGAATTAGATCGAGTTCATAATTGTCAAATTTCAATTGAAAAATTTGGCTTTTGTTAGTTTAATTTGACCATGTGATGTATATTGAAAGAGGAGTTTAAAATTTAATGCTTTTTGCACACTTTTTTAAGGAATTTCTAAATTAAAGTAGCTGGAGCCAACCAAACGGTTACTCATTGTATTTATTAAAAATTACTTCAACAATCGACAAAAACTGATAAACTGATTATTACTTTGTGAAATATTTATAACTGGTGGTCTGAGTTACAGCAATGGTCGGTTATTGTGGAGTACTATTTGTCTGTATCCTCGCAGCAAATTTTTCTACAAAAACGGTTTTGTGTGAAAAATCTGGCAATCCGTACAAAAATTTTAGTTGCGAACCACGAAAAGAATGCGAACAACAAAAGGAATGCGAACCATGGTAAGTTCGAAGTTGCTAACTGAAAATTAATCACAAAAATGGTTCAGCAGGTATTAACAACATGAATTAGTCTAACATCCTATACTATACTAATTGTTTTAAAATTCTGTTTTTCTATATGTGTGAAATAATTCTCGTGCACTCCTCAAATGTTCTCTACGGATAGTCAAATTTCTAAGCTTTTACAGAATCTTCCGGCCAGAATAATTAATTTTGCAAACAAAAAGATCGGAGAAGAAAGAATTTAATTATTTAAAAAATTTTGCTGTTTTTTTTTTGCGTGCAAATACAAGCTGCAAATGGTTTAATTAACAATCAAAATATTTTTAGTCTAGGATGAATCATAATGAAGAGTGACTGTTCACTGAAAGTTTCTTTAAGAAGCAAAAACTTTTAATGTTCTAGCCAACTTTGAGAATGTTTTGCAACTTTTAAATAGTGATCGAAACAAGGCAAACCTTTTATGCCCCTTAAACATTCTCTCTCTCAAAAAAAAATAATAATGTCGAAGCCAAATTTCCTCCCCATATTAAGTGACCTGATCATCATGAAAATGTGGTTTAGATACACAGCTCAAAGTATGAAAATTACATTTGTTTTGCTGACAAAATTAAGAAAACGAGCTTTTTTTTCAGATTTTCTCGGTCTTTTATAAAAAAAAATTTAAAGGCTGGTGCGCTTAGTTAAACTTCGAAACATTATAAATTTAATTAATGTATGAAAAAAGAATTTTTTTGTCTTTATAATAGCTGAAATGACACAAAGACGGCGTTCAGGCAATATACCGGTATCACTTCTGCCATGTCTTTTTTATTGGCTACAAAAGTTTTCAAGAAGTTTTTTATTGAAGTCCAGATCGCAACTCAATTGGGTTAAATTTGATGTACCATGTACCAATTTGATGTAACTTGAGACGACTATTCATGATATGCGATAATTCGTAAAATGCGACAATTCGAGTAAACAGTGAGAGGCAAATACTGATTACGCGCAGCATTCCTCTCGTGACAAATCAAAGCGCATCAGTGCATGCGTTCACCTTTTGCCACTGCTTTTTGACGAAC